GGGGGGGGTGACGCTCGGCGGGTGGAGTGGGGGGGGCAGCTCCCCGCCCAGTGCCCCCTCCCCCGCGGCTGGGGCGCGATGGGGGCAGGAAGCGAGGGAGGGGTGCGGAGCTCGCTGCAGCTGGCAGTGGGGGAGTTGCCGGGGGTGGGTCTGACCCGGCCCGGGAGCAGCCCGCCCAGGGGAAGAGGAAGTCCCGGACTCCCGTCTCCCCACAGCCCAGCCGGGACCAGCAGCTGGAGCCCAGCGCAGGTAGGAGCCGCGGCCGGGGCGCCCCCAGCCCTGCCCCGCTGCCGGCGGCGGCGGGACCCAGGCGGGTTCGGGGCCGGGTCCCACCCCGCGGGCGGAGGGTGGGATGAGCAGCCTGGCAGGGCCTGGCTCCACGTGCTGCTGCCGCCACTTCCGGCTCGTCCGGGCTCGGGGGGGTCGCTGGTCCCTCCTCTGAGCCCCCCCGGAGCGGAGTGACCCACTGCCCCCCCTTCCCGAAGCTGTGGGGCTGGGGCACAGCTGGGCTCCTGCACATCCCAGGCAGGGGGTCCCCCCGATGTGCAGGAGGTCCCCCCACCCCTGAATATAATGGAAACCACTTCAAGCCGGGGGCGGGGGGTGCAGCAGCACCCCTAGTTCCAGCACCTAGGCCCTGGGTCCGTCCCAGCGGGAGCGCAGAGTCTGGCCGAGGGTAGCCACAGCTGGTGGTCGGTCAGAGCTAGGGTGACCAAACAGCAAATGTGAAAAATCGGGACGGGGTGAGGGGTAATAGGAGCCTATATATGAAAAAGACCCAAAAATCGGGACTGTCCCTATAAAATCGGGACATCTGGTCACTCTAGTCAGAGCTGTGATGCCCCCTCTCCTCCTGGGGCGGCTGGGGCCCCTTGAGCTGGGGGGCACTGGGAACAACACAACGAGAACCCAAGTCAAGTCTTTGCGGTGGGGCACGTGTCCCGCTCTGGACCAGGCTGCGTCTGAGCTGAGCGCGGCACAGGGCTGCAGCGCCATGGGGCCTGCCTCCGCCCCGTCCCTGTCGCGTCCGCGCACCCCACGGCGGTTAGTACATTCATCTGTGTGTGCCTGCCCCACTGCGGCAGGGCAGGGCTGTGACCCCTGTGATAGAGGGGTGCTGAGGCTCAGTGACTATGGGTTTGTCTACATGGGGATGCTGATGGCTGGAGCAATTGCAGAATAGTGGCCCCCACCCCCATGGCGCTCTGTTCTGGAGCAAACGTCACTCGATTCTGGGTAATGGTTGCGTTTCCAAAGCAGAGCGACGGCGGGGAGCCATTCCCCAATAGCTATTGCTGTCAGTTTCCTGTGTCAGAGCAGGGACTGGAACCCATGGTCCGGGTGAGCACGCTACCCACTGGGGCGGCCTTCCGCCCCTGCTCCCTTGCTAGGTGGGTCTGTGTCCTTGCTCCGTAATGCCCGGTTACGGTGAGTGCAGTGCTACGCAGGGCGTGGTTGGGGTGCTGCCTCCCTGTGCAGTCAATGGGGCAGGGCATGTTCCAGACAGGGGCTGGCCTGCGGGTGCGGTTGAAATGGGGCGATATGAGGCTTGTGCCCAGGATAGCTGGCTCCCGTGTGCTCTGACCATGCCACGGGAGTCGCAGGGAACGTCTCCGCTGTCACGGATCGACAGCATCGGTGCTACGCCCCCAGTTTTGGAACAGTCTCTAGGAGGAGCCCTTCAGTTTGTCCAACCCCCAAGGGGTCTCAAACTTACTGCCTGGAGTAGGCCTCACTGCCTCCTTCTGGGGAACCTCTGGGGCTCCAGCACTCGTGTTTCACAGCATGAGCTTTGCCTGGTGAGTCCAGCTGAACTGGACTCCTGGGAGAGACTAGGCCCCTCTTCAGGGACTAATGCACCTCAGCCAGTGTTTGCAGTGACACACGCAGGGTTGGCAAACCAGGCAGGTTTATTAGTCACCTGTTACACAGCATGGGGTGGCCTTAGGTCAGCAGAAAAAACGGAAGGTTAAAGCATCAACCGTTCTGGTCAGCCAGAGCCCAGCCACGCTGGAACGAAGGCTGGACACATGCACAGCTAGGTCGATGCAAGGCGGCCTACTTCAACCTAACTTTGTAGCATAGACCAGGTCTCTTAGCCTGTCCTGAGAGCAAAGAGTCCTTCCCCCGCCCCCTGGGTAACAATATGAAATATGGGGGAAACCGAGGCACGCATGGGCTTCATTCAAAATATTACAGCGAATTCCCACTTTGTCACATACCCTGCAGATGGAGGGGAGATTCCTCGCTCGGGTAGAGGTTCCTGCACTGGTGTGTACAGCTGCTCATGAATTACATCTCCAGCGGCAGTGTAGACAGGCCCCCAGAGAGCTCCATTTATGGGCCGCTCTAATTGTATCCTTGGGGCTAGTGCCAGGTTCTGTGGGTCCCCGAATCCAGCTGTGCCTGGTTCCAGAAGGGATGGACGTTGGCTTGGACACGCTAACATCTCCCATGTACAGTGTGACCCCTGGGCTAGCAGTGCATGCTGGGAGCGTGGGCTGCTCCATGGGGTAATGGTCCTCTTGTCAGCCTTGGGCCAGTGTCATTGGGAGGTGATGGAAGGAGCCAGCTTGGAGGGAACAGTCGGTGGCGCTGCCTACCTGTCTGTGAGGCTGGGGGAGCTGCAGCGCTGGTGCCCCATAGAGGCAGAAGGAGAGAGGAGAGGGCCTCCCTGCATGGGAGTGGCGCAGGGTAGCCCAGGGGCCGAGTCCCGCCTGGGGGACCCGGTAGGGAGAGCCAGCCTGAACGCCTCCGGCTGGGCCCCCAAGACTGGTGGCAGCTTCAGAAACACGGGCCTTTCTGCCCCAGCGCAGCCATGTCCCCTGGGCTGGGGATCCCACTGGAGTCCTGTTTGCAGCAGTCAGTAGCGGGTGAGGCCTCAAGGTGGGCTGGGGGTGGTTCAGCGCCAGGGTGGCTGCTTGACTCCGGTGCGGCCAGGACCCTGTGCAGGGACTGGGACTCCCTCCCCGAGGCCGCGTGTGTTTCCCTGCTTTCAGCTGGAGTGTTGGCATGGCCCTATTGCAGTGAGCTGGGTCCAGCCTGAGGTCTGGATCCCCTCCTCCCCCTGCCCTAAGAGCTGCTGCAGGGCCCCGGCTGCCCTCCAGTTGCAAAGGGGCGTGGAGGGTGCTCCGGATCTCTTAGTGCTCCCATTTGATCCTCTTCTCCTGAAATCGCTTGCCTGGCGGCAAGGGCATCATGTGCCCTTCCCCACCCCTTGTTGGGCCATGGGCGTCTGGCTATGTCAGCCCCAAAGGTGAGCGGCACGGCCAGCCCTGACTCAGGCGCGGCTGAAGCTGAGCTGGTCTGGGGTGGAGGGGGATGGTGCTACTGGAAACTATTTTGCAACCTCCGAGGTTAAAAAAGTCCAGGGTGACTCAGCCGAGCTGCTGCTGGGTGTCTCGTGGGCAGAGCTGCGGATCCTTGTTCCCTGGCTGGGTCCCTTACGCCGCGTGCCCCCCGCAGCTGCAAGGCCGTCCCTGAGGTGAGCGGCGGGCCGGTATGGCTGCCGAGGTGCCAGCTGGATAGATGGCTGGAGCTCGGTGTGACTGTCTGGGTGCTGGGCCGGGTTGTTGGGGAGTTGGAGTCTGAGCCACAATTGCCTCCTCCCAGCTGGAGCGGGGGCTCCCGGCCGTGCCCACTCCTTCTTCAGAGCTGCTGGGAGTGCCGTGGCCGTGCCGCCTGTCTCTGCCGGCTCCAGCTCCTGCCCCCAGCACAGACCGCTTCTTCTCCTCCCTGCCAGGCGAGGAGTCCGTCCCCACGCCTGGGCTGCCTGCTACAGCGTGGCTTCTGGTGCCCCTCGCACCAGTCCCCCTCCCCATGGGTGCAGGGGTCTCGATCCGAGGGGAGTGGGGGGGGGGCTGGGTCTCTGTGCCCCTTGCCCTCGCCGCCAGGTGACTGACTCTCCCCTTCCCCCGGCAGCGCCATGGGCTCCATGTTCCGCAGCGAGGAGGTCTGCCTGGCCCAGCTCTTCCTGCAGTCGGCCTCGGCCTACGCCTGCGTCAGCGAGCTGGGCGAGAGGGGGCTCGTGGAGTTCAGAGACGTATGTGCAGGGCAGGACGTGGTGCCCCCCTGTGGGGAGCAGAGGGGCGGGGTCACTGGCTGGGGTGGGGGGAAGTGGCCGTGGGGGGGTGCTTGGGACGTCTCATCTGCTATAGGGGAAGAGTCGTGGTCCCGGAGCAGGGGAGGAAGGGGGCATGGGGAAGCCAGGGTGTCTGGTGCCAATGGGGGGCAGTGGGAGTTAGGGTTCATCACTGGGGCGCTGTTGTGGGGGGTAGGGGAAGTCGGGGTCCCTGACTGGGGAGGTGTCCGGGTGGCTGGTCCCAATAGGGGCAGGAATCGGGGTCCCTGACTGAGGGGTTGGGGCTGTTGGGGTGGCTGGTCCCTACCGGGGTGGGCAGGAGGAGTCGGGGTCCCTGACTGGGTGGCTGATCCCAATAGGGGCAGGAGTTGAGGTCCCTGACCGAAGGGCTGGGGCTGTTGGGGTGGCTGGTCCCACCCTAGCTGCCCGGAGTCGGGGCCCCGTGCAGGGTGGGCTGCAGCTGGGCTCTGATGTGCTGTCTCTGCTCCCCCAGCTCAACCCCAATGTCAACGCCTTCCAGCGGCGCTTCGTGGGTGAGGTGCGGCGTTGTGAGGACATGGAGAAAACCTTCAGTGAGTGCCAAGCCACCCTGGGGGAAGGGGCTCCTTCTGGGGGACAGGGAGACTTGGGGGAATCTCTAGGACATTGGGGACACCGTGGGGTGAAGGGAAGGGAGGGGAGGCTCTGGGGTGGTGGAGAGTCTGTGTGGGGAGGGAAGGGTGTCTCCTCTCTGGGCAGGTGGGAACCCTGCAGGGAGGAGGTCTCTCTGGGGTGCCAGGGGCTGCACGTGGGGATGGGAGCCTGGAGTGGTGGGATGGAGGGGGTCTGGGGTGGCAGAGGCCCAGTGGTGTGGGGTTAAGTTAGTTAAGTCCAAAGCAGACTGTGAAGAGTTACAAAGGGATCTCACAAAACTGGGTGACTGGGCAACAAAATGGCAGCTGAAATTCACTGTTGATAAATGCAAAGTAATACACAGTGGAAAACATAATCCCAACTATACATATACAATGATGGGATGTAAATTAGCTGTTGCCACACAAGAAAGAGATCTTGTTATCATGGTGGATAGTTCTCTGAAAACATCCACTCCATGTGCAGCGGCAGTCAGAAAAGGGGACAGAATGTTGGGAATCATTAGGAAAGGGATAGATAATAACACACAAAAGATTATATTGTCTCTATATAAATCCATGGTACGCCCACATCTTGAATACTGCGTGCAGATGTGGTCGCCCCATCTCAAAAAAGATATATTGGAATTGGAAAAGGTACAGAAAAGGGCAACAAAAATGATTAGGGGTATGGAACAGCTTCCGTATGTGGAGAGATTAATAAAATTGGGACTTTTCATCTTGGAAAAGAGACAGGTAAGGGGGGATATGACAGAGGTCTATAACATCATGAATTGTGTGGAGAAAGTAAATAAGGAAGTGTTATTTACTACTTCACATCTCATAAGAACCAAGGGTCACCCAATGAAATTAACAGGCAGAAGGTTTAAAACAAACAAAAGGAAGTATTTCTTCACCCAACGCACAGTCAACCTGTGGAACTCGCTGCCGGGGGATATTGTGAAGGCCAAAAATATAACTGGATTCAAAAAAGAACTAGATAAGTTCATGGAGGATAGGCCCATCAATGGCTATTAGCCCAAATGGTCAGGGACACAACTCTGTGCTCTGGGTGTCCCAAAGGCTGTGACTGCAGAAACTAGGGAGAGGGGGGTCTCCAGATGGGTACCCGATGGGGGCAGGCGATGCACGGGCAGTGTTGATGGGCGCTGTGTCCCTGCTGCGCAGCGTTTCTGCACCAGGAGCTGCGGAAGGCAGGGCTGGCACTGGGGCCCTGCCCTGAAAGCCCCCCGGCCCCTCTGCCCCGTGATGCCCTGCACATCCAGGAGCAGTCTGAGCAGCTGGCCCAGGAGCTGCGCGAAGTGAGCCGCAACCGGGAGTCGCTGGGCGGACGCCTGCGGGAGATGCAGGAGTACGCGCAAGTCCTGCGCGAGGGGCAGCGCTTCACCGGCCAGCTGGTGAGCCCTTGTGCGGGGCCAGAGCAGTGGCCTTGGGGTTGAGGAGGGGGCTGGAGGGAGCAGAGGAGGGGCAGAGCAGAGAGGCCTGGGCGGCAGGGAGGGGATCGTTGGAGTATGGGGTCCCGGGGTTGGGGGGCTGGGAGGGTGTGATGGGGTCCCTGGGGCGTAACCTGGACTGGGGAGGCCTCTGAGCCCTGTTCCACCAACCTGGGTTGCCTCTCACACTGTGATGCCGATGTCATGCTACAAACCTTGGACAGACACTGCACTTACACAGCCATCCACAGGCAGAGACACACCCAGCTGAGTTACATTAATAGGGTTTGGGGAGAGGGATAGCTCAGTGGTTTGAGCATTGGCCTGCTTAAATCCAGGGTTGTGAGTTCAGTCCTTCAGGGGGCCGCTTAGGGATCTGGGGCAAAAATCAGTACTTGGTCCTGCTAGTGAAGGCAGGGGGCTGGACTTGATGACCTTTCAAGGTCCCTTCCAGTTCTAGGAGATAGGATATCTCCATTTATTTATTTAATTTATGAATGAATCTCCCAGCCACTCATGATCTCCCACCCCGATCCCCCCAGCTCCAGCCCTACATCCCAGGACCGTAATGTCTTACACTGTTCAAGGCCCCCTTGGGCAGTGCAAGTTCATTAAGTAGTTCGTCACTCCCTCTATGTGGAGCGGACACACACTAGCCTTTGCAACCTGAGCTGAGATCTCCCAAGCGGAACACACTGTTTTAGGTAAAATATAAAACAGATTTATTAACTCCAGAAAGATCAATTTTAAGTGAATATAAGTAGCCGGCACAGAGATCAAAGTTGGTTACTTAAGAAATAAAAATAAAATAAATTTGCAATCTAAGTTCTACAAACTAAACAGGATTTGAATCAAGCAGTGTCTCACCCTGACTGATGGCACAATCAGGTTACAGATCCTCAATGCACAGGCTGGGACTTTTCCAGCCTGGGATCACCCTTCCCAGTTCAAAGTCTTTGTCCTCCAGACGTTTCCCCTCCCAACTCAGGTCAACACCTGGAAGAAAGAGACCAAGTGATGATGCCACTGTCTCTCTTACAGCTCGCTGGAAAGATCTTTGCTGTGACATGGGGATCAGGCAGTCCCCATTGGTCAAGCAGTCTCCATTGCATACATGCTCTTTCTGAGAAGTCTCTGGGATGGCTGTTGGGAGAGTGGATTCCCTTTAATGGGCCATCAGCACATCTGGCTGGTCCTTTGTTGCAATTGAAAGGTTGGCTGGGGGCATCTCCCAACCTCACAACTATTTCAGGAACACATGTAGCAATGCTTCATAACTTCACATACAACGAGAGCACAGACAATCAAATGGGATTAATGTTCAACAGATCAAGATTTTTAAAATAATACCTCACAAGACATACTGTGTACAAAACTTATCATAATTATATGACAGTCGAGAATATGGTCGTTCCAGGGTTCTACTTTGAGGTATAGAGGGGCAGAATGGAAGGGAATCTGGGAGGCAGAGAGGGGATGGGTGGGTGTCCTAGAGGTTGGGGGGCAGGGAGGGGTGGAGCGGGTCACCCCCAGGGCTGGGCACAGGTGTGTGTGGGCCAATGGTGGATTCCTGGGGGAGAACGGAGAGGTTGCCAGGTAAGGAGGGGGGCACCGTGGCGCCGGTTGCCTGGGGAAGAAGGGGGCCCCGTTGGGCTGGGCAGCTCCTCTGATGGTCTCTCTCCTGTGTGGCAGGCATCACTGGGCTCCCCCGCCCGGCCCCGCGCCCTCTCGGACCAGGAGCCCCTGCTCAACCCGTCCACGGCACCGCGACTCGATGTCAAAGTCAAGTGAGTCGGTTCCAGAGCGGGTGGGATGAGTTCCAGATGGGGCAGCAGCTGTGGGGCAGGCCCCATCTGGGACAACGTGGGGATTAGGGGGAGAGCGGGGCTGTGCCTGGGACACGGCGGGTTCTGTGGTAGTGCCATGGATGCCGTGGTGCCCTTGGGCGCTGTGGGACTGTTCTGCCCTGGGATGCCAGCCCCCCCCCCCCCCCTTGGCTCTCTCTTCTCTCCCCTCCCCCAGCTTTGTGGCGGGCGTGATCCACCCTTGGCGGGTGACCTCCTTTGAGCGGCTGCTGTGGCGCGCCTGCCGCGGGTACCTCATCGCCAACTTTGTGGAGATGGCGGAGCCCATGGAGGACCCAGCCACGGTGAGTGCGGGGCGGGAAGAGGGGTTGGAGCAGGTCTGGGTGTCTGTGAGGGGGGCAGACCTGGAGGGGACATGGGTGGATCTGAGTGGGGTGGGGCTGGGGGGGTTTCTCGGGAGCATGGGTGGGGGTGGTTTGTAGGCACCCCTGTGCTGTGCTGAGGCTCATGGGTAATGTGCTCCCCCTGCAGGGTGAGAGCATCACCTGGGTTATCTTCCTCATTTCCTACTGGGGGGAGCAGATCGGACAGAAAATCCGCAAAATCTCGGACTGGTGAGTGCTGCCCCCCACCCGTCCCGTCTCCTCGCCGTCTATCTGTCTGCCTGTTCACCCCCCTAGCAATTCCTGCCCCAAGCTCCGGCGCTCCATACGCCTGCTGCTGCTGCGTGAGGGGTCCAGGTGCCACACCGGAGCCGCTCTTGTTCCTGTCTGGGGAGCTAGGAGTCCGGGGGGGTGTCTTGGGGGCAGCCCCTCCCCTGCCGCCTGGTGGGGCTGTTCCCTGGGGGGAATGGGAGCAGAGTGCCAGGGCCCCCTCCAGCCGGCTGGCCCGACTCCTCATGCCTATAGGAGGCACAGGATTGATGGCAGTCGTTTGTGCCTCCTCCCCCCCTCCCGCCCCCCAGGCTGTTCGGTTTCTCCCACACACAACTCAGCCCCCCTCTCCGCCAACATGCCCCCCGCTCACCTGTGCGTGTCTTTCCCAGCTTCCACTGCCACGTGTACCCCTACGCCGACAGGGAGGCCGACCGGCTGGAGGTGCTGAGTGGGCTGCTCGCCCAGATCAACGACCTCACCACGGTGAGATGGGGGGGCCCCCAGGACACTCCCCGGTCAACGACCTCACCGCAGTGAGATGGGGGAGCTGCGGGGGGGGGGGGAGGGGGCGAGGACACTCCCCGCTCAACGACCTCCAGCGTTAGGGTCCCAGGCTGTAAGGGAGATGGGCAGCAGTTGAGGCCCCTACCAGGGTGGAGAGGAAATATTGGGCTGGGGGGCCCCAGCTGTGTTGGAATATTGTGGGGGTTGGTGTCTGCCCCTGTGAACCTCCCTCCCCCCGGCAGGTGCTGGGGGAGACGGAGCAGTACCTGTCCCAGGTGCTGCAGAAGGTGGTGCTGACGCTGCCGGCCTGGCGCGTGAAGGTGCAGAAGATGAAGGCCATCTACCTCATCCTCAACCAGTGCAGCTTCAACGTCATTGAGAAGTGCCTCATCGCCGA